GAGGTGCTGCAAGGATGGGTGGTGGTCACGGTTTGCTGAGGAGATGGAGTCTGCCTCAGTGGCCTGCGATCATAAATTTCTATTTAACTCCATCAAAAAAGTAACCTGCAGTGCCACACCTGTTACCATCATTAGGGGAAAAAACGGTGATCCAATCTCCGACCCCCAGGAACAGCTTTGCAGATTTGCTGAGCATTTCTGTGAGGTCCTGGGGGAGGGAAAATGCCTCAGCACCTGCCACCATGAGGGGTGGACAGTCCTCTACTCGGGGCAGCAGACTGCCAAACAACAAGGTGTGGCTCTTCTTTTGAACAAAATAATGAAGGGGGCGTGGCAGCGTGGCGGTGAGGTGTGGGAAGCTGTAAGCGCCAGGCTACAATGGGCTCGCCTTCCCATCAACCGGAGGCGAGGAGTGGTGGTGCATCAGCCAGTCATCTCAGTCACAGCAGATTGGCACAGTAGGGGGCACAGGTGGTGCATCAGCCAGTCATCTCAGTCAGTCGACCCGTAGCACCTGGGTCTGCCCCGTGACCTCCTTCCAGCGGGCGTTCGACACTTCACGTGGCCTCTAGGTGCACATGGCCTGGCACAAGCGTCGTGGTGATGTCACCGCCACTTAGTGGCGAATGGCGGTTGTTGGTTGTTGTGTCTGTGTGTGTTTGTCTTTCTGTGTGTGTACGTGTGTGTCTGTGTGTGTGTGTGTCTGTGTGTGTGTGTCTGTGTGTGTGTCTATCTGTGTGTCTGTGTGTGTGTGCCTCTGTGTGTCTGTTTGTGTGTCTGTGTGTGTGTGTCTGTGTGTGTCTATCTGTGTGTCTGTGTCTGTGTTTTCCAGCCTTCATAGGTGCCCGCTAACAGCACTTTGCCCCTACAGTCTGTTAAGGCTATACGGGGGATCTTTATCTTTGTGTGTCTGTGCGTGTCTCTGTGCGTGATGCTGATGCTGCTGCTGATGAGAGTGTCACGATTGATGCTGATGCTGCTGCTGCTGATGATGTTGTTGATGTCACTCAGAAGCGCCGGAGGACATGTGACAAGGAGCACCTTGAAGCGACTTCTGCAAAATCATCATCATCAGCATCATCATCAGCAGCATCATGACATCAGCATCATCATCATCAGCATCATCACCATCATCATCACCACCATCATGTTGATGATGATGCTCACGGTGTTTGCAAGTAAACACGACGCGGAATTGAAGAGGTGGAGACGGGGAGGGGGAGGGGCGGGAGGGAGGACCCGCGATGACGTCACAGTGTCTGTGTGAACCACGTGACCAATAAACGATATCTGTTCGAAATGCGATTCAATTAGTTAATGTCTGTGTGGTGAGTCTATGGGTCTCTGTGTGGTGAGTCTGTGGGTCTCTGTGTGGTGAGTCTGGGGTCTCTATGTGGTGAGTCTATGGGTCTCTGTGTGGTGAGTCTATGGGTCTCTGTGTGATGAGTCTGTGGGTCTCTGTGTGATGAGTCTGTTGGTCTCTGTGTGGTGAGTCTATGGGTATCTGTGTGCTGAGTCTGTGGGTCTCTGTGTGGTGAGTCTGGGGTCTCTTTGTGGTGAGTCTATGGGTCTCTGTGTGGTGAGTCTATGGGTCTCTGTGTGATGAGTCTGTGGGTCTCTGTGTGATGAGTCTGTTGGTCTCTGTGTGGTGAGTCTATGGGTCTCTGTGTGGTGAGTCTATGGGTCTCTGCGTGGTCAGTCTATGGCTCTCTGTGTGATGAGTCTATGGGTCTCTGTGTGATGAGTCTATGGGTCTCTGCGTGGTGAGTCTATGGGTATCTGTGTGACGAGTCTATGGGTCTCTGTGTGGTGAGTCTATGGGTCTCTGTGTGGTGAGTCTATGGGTCTCTGTGTGGTGAGTCTATGGCTCTCTGTGTGGTGAGTCTATGGGTCTCTGTGTAATGAGTCTATGGGTCTCTGTGTGGTGAGTCTATGGGTCTCTGTGTGGTGAGTCTACGGGTCTCTGTGTGGTGAGTCTGTGGGTCTCTGTGTGATGAGTCTATGGGTCTCTGTGTGATGAGTCTATGGGTCTCTGTGTGATGGCTCTATGGGTCTCTGTGTGGTGAGTCTATGGGTATCTGTGTGGTGAGTCTATGGGTCTCTGTGTGGTGAGTCTATGGATCTCTGTGTGATGAGTCTATGGGTCTCTGTGTGATGGCTCTATGGGTCTCTGTGTGGTGAGTCTGGGGTCTCTATGTGGTGAGTCTGTGGGTCTCTGTGTGGTGAGTCTATGGGTCTCTGTGTGATGAGTCTGTGGGTCTCTGTGTGATGAGTCTGTTGGTCTCTGTGTGGTGAGTCTATGGGTCTCTGTGTGGTGAGTCTGTGGGTCTCTGTGTGGTGAGTCTGGGGTCTCTTTGTGGTGAGTCTATGGGTCTCTGTGTGGTGAGTCTATGGGTCTCTGTGTGATGAGTCTGTGGGTCTCTGTGTGATGAGTCTGCTGGTCTCTGTGTGGTGAGTCTATGGGTCTCTGTGTGGTGAGTCTATGGGTCTCTGCGAGGTCAGTCTATGGCTCTCTGTGTGATGAGTCTATGGGTCTCTGTGTGATGAGTCTATGGGTCTCTGCGTGGTGAGTCTATGGGTATCTGTGTGATGAGTCTATGGGTCTATGTGTGGTGAGTCTATGGGTCTATGTGTGATGAGTCTATGGGTCTCTGTGTGGTGAGTCTATGGGTCTCTGTGTGGTGAGTCTATGGCTCTCTGTGTGGTGAGTCTATGGGTCTCTGTGTAATGAGTCTATGGGTCTCTGTGTGATGAGTCTATGGGTCTCTGCGTGGTGAGTCTATGGGTATCTGTGTGATGAGTCTATGGGTCTATGTGTGGTGAGTCTATGGGTCTATGTGTGATGAGTCTATGGGTCTCTGTGTGGTGAGTCTATGGGTCTCTGTGTGGTGAGTCTATGGCTCTCTGTGTGGTGAGTCTATGGGTCTCTGTGTAATGAGTCTATGGGTCTCTGTGTGGTGAGTCTATGGGTCTCTGTGTGGTGAGTCTACGGGTCTCTGTGTGGTGAGTCTGTGGGTCTCTGTGTGATGAGTCTATGGGTCTCTGTGTGATGAGTCTATGGGTCTCTGTGTGATGGCTCTATGGGTCTCTGTGTGGTGAGTCTATGGGTCTCTGTGTGGTGAGTCTATGGGCCTCTGTGTAATGAGTCTATGGGTCTCTGTGTGGTGAGTCTATGGGTCTCTGTGTGATGAGTCTATGGGTCTCTGCGTGGTGAGTCTATGGGTCTCTGTGTGATGAGTCTATGGGTCTCTGTGTGGTGAGTCTACGGGTCTCTGTGTGGTGAGTCTATGGCTCTCTGTGTGATGAGTCTATGGCTCTCTGTGTGGTGAGTCTATGGGTCTCTGTGTGGTGAGTCTATGGCTCTCTGTGTAATGAGTCTGTTGGTCTCTGTGTGGTGAGTCTGTGGGTCTCTGTGTGGTCAGTCTATGGCTCTCTGTGTGGTGAGTCTATATGTCTCTGTGTAATGAGTCTATGGGTCTCTGTGTGGTGAGTCTATGGGTCTCTGTGTGATGAGTCTGTGGGTCTCTGTGTGGTCAGTCTATGGGTCTCTGTGTGGTGAGTCTATGGCTCTCTGTGTGGTCAGTCTATGGCTCTCTGTGTGATGGCTCTATGGGTCTCTGTGTGATGAGTCTATGGCTCTCTGTGTGGTGAGTCTATGGGTCTCTGTGTGGTGAGTCTATGGGTCTCTGTGTGGTGAGTCTATGGGTCTCTGTGTGGTGAGTCTATGGGTCTCTGTGTAATGAGTCTATGGGTCTCTGTGTGATGAGTCTATGGGTCTCTGTGTAATGAGTCTATGGGTCTCTGTGTAATGAGTCTATGGGTCTCCGTGTGGTGAGTCTATGGGTCTCTGTGTGGTGAGTCTGTGGGTCTCTGTGTGGTCAGTCTATGGGTCTCTGTGTGATGAGTCTATGGGTCTCTGTGTGGTGAGTCTGTGGGTCTCTGTGTGATGAGTCTATGGGTCTCTGCGTGGTGAGTCTATGGGTCTCTGTGTGGTGAGTCTATGGGTCTCTGTGTAATGAGTCTATGGGTCTCTGTGTGATGAGTCTATGGGTCTCTGTGTAATGAGTCCATGGGTCTCTGTGTAATGAGTCTATGGGTCTCTGTGTGGTGAGTCTATGGGTCTCTGTGTGGTGAGTCTATGGGTCTCTGTGTGATGAGTCTATGGGTCTCTGTGTGTTGAGTTTGTGGGTCTCTGCGTGGTGAGTCTATGGGTCTCTGTGTGGTGAGTCTATGGGTCTCTGTGTGGTGAGTCTATGGGTCTCTGTGTAATGAGTCTATGGGTCTCTGTGTGATGAGTCTATGGCTCTCTGTGTGGTGAGTCTATGGGTCTCTGTGTGATGAGTCTATGGGTCTCTGTGTGATGAGTCTATGGGTCTCTGTGTGGTGAGTCTATGGTTCTCTGTGTAATGAGTCTGTGGGTCTCTGTGTGGTGAGTCTGTGGGTCTCTGTGTGATGAGTCTATGGGTCTCTGCGTGGTGAGTCTATGGGTCTCTGTGTGGTGAGTCTACGGGTCTCTGTGTGGTGAGTCTATGGGTCTCTGTGTGGTGAGTCTATGGGTCTCTGTGTGGTGAGTCTATGGGTCTCTGTGTGGTGAGTCTATGGGTCTCTGTGTGGTGAGTCTATGGGTCTCTGTGTGGTGAGTCTGTGGGTCTCTGTGTGGTCAGTCTATGGCTCTCTGTGTGATGAGTCTATGGGTCTCTGTGTGATGAGTCTGTGGGTCTCTGTGTGGTGAGTCTATGGGTTTCTGTGTGGTGAGTCTGTGGGTCTCTGTGTGGTGAGTCTATGGGTCTCTGTGTGGTGAGTCTATGGCTCTCTGTGTGGTCAGTCTATGGCTCTCTGTGTGATGGCTCTATTTGTGCCTTCCGAGTCCAATCCACCGCTGTTTCATTTCCCCATATGGGGGGAGCATAGACAAATTCTGCGGCGGTGCAGTCCAACACTCGACCCACGTGACACGCGTGCGCGCCTACCCCCCACCCACCCATCCTACGTCACTTCCGGCTTTTCAGATCACGTGGCGAGAACCGCAGCCAATCGCGTCACCCTAGCAACCACCCCCCCCCTCCTCCCTTAGCAACGGTAGGCCTCAGGCTTAGCAAGGTGAGTGGGCAGTGTTGGGCCCTTCTGAGGCGTTTTAACTCTTTTAATATTTTTTCTATTTTTAAATTTTAAAAAGTCAATTACCATCCGCTCGTTAAAGTCGCTGTCAGGCTGGGGTTTTTTTTGTTTTACTTTGCCATGTAAACAAAGAGAAAGGCGGAATAATGGGAGGTTGTTTTTTTTATCTTACGCAGTGAGCGGCTTTTTTGTCTAGCAGGCTTCATTCAATCGACTAGGCCGCGACTTTCATTCTTAAACATTTAAACCTTAACGCAAATTAATTTTTAAAAATGTGTTTCTTTAACGGTGTTATAACAAACTTTTTTTTATTGTAATAAACCGAAAAAAATAGGCGTGTGCGATTAACGAAGGCGTAAATATATGTTTTTTTTAGAACATTGTTATAACAAACTTCTTGATCATAAACAAACAAGGTGACATTAATTAAGACCAATTTCTTTTTACGCTGTTATAACAACCTCTTGATTATAAACAAAAACGTGATTAAGGCGTAATTGTTTTAACATTGTTATAACCTCTTGATTATAAACAAAAACGTGATTAAGGCGTAATTGTTTTAACATTGTTATAACAACAAACTCTTAGAATAAAAAAACGTGATTAATACTTTATTGTTTTTACATTGTTATGACAACAACCTCTTGATTATTATAATAAAAAACGTGATTTATTAAGACTTTATTGTTTTAACATTATAACAACCTCTTGATTATAATTTTTAAAAACGCGATTAAGACTATTGTTTTAACGTTATAACAACCTCTTGATTATAATAAAAACACGTGATTAATTAAGACTTTATTGTTTTAACATTGTTATAACAACAACCTCTTGATTATAATAAAAAAACGTGATTAATTAAGACGTTATTGTTTTATCATTGTTATAACAACAACCTCTTGAATTTAAACAAAAACGTGATTAAGATGTAATTGTTTTAACATTGTTATAGCAACCTCTTGTTGTGGTGGTGATGGTGGTGGTCGTGATGGAGGTGGTGGTGATGGTGTTGGTGGTGGTGGTGATGGTGGTGGTGATGGTGATGGTGGTGGTCGTGATGGAGGTGGTGATGGTGGTGGTGGTGATGGTGGTGGTGGTGATGGTGGTGAAGGGGGACGGTACAGACTGTAACAACTACAGGGGCATCTCACTCCTCAGTGTGCCGGGAAAGGTCCTGGCAAGGATTATTCAGCATCGCCTTGCCAGGCACGCTGAGGAGAGGCTTGCGGAGCCCCAATGCGGTTTCAGGAAAGGGTGGTCCTGCACAGATGCCATATTTTCTGTCCGTCTGCTACAGCAGAGGTGTAGGGAATTCCAACAAGACCTACATCTCTACTTTATTGACCTGGTCAAGGCCTATGATACCATCAGTAGGCCTGGGCTCTGGGTTGTTCGTCGTGCTTTTAGAGTCCCTGACCCTCTGCTCACGATCATTAAGGACCTTCAGCCATTCCCTGTACACCTTGGGGTGCGACAGGGATGTCCTCAGGCTCCCACATTATTTAACATCTATTTTGACCACGTAGTTCGTGAAGCCTTCAATAGCTGTACCGGGGGAATCTCCATATGGTACAGATATAATGGGAGGCTGATCGATGCCCGGGTGCGGTCAAGGGATGGCTCCCTATTGCTCAACCACGTTATGTATGCTGATGATTTGGTAATAGCTGCTCAGTCAGAGGAGGAGTTGGAGACGCTGCTGCTGAGACTGGAGCGTGCCACTAAGAGATGGGGCCTTACCATCAGCCCCACCAAAACTAAGCACCTGCCTGGGTATTTTGTACCATCGGACACTCCACCCCCACAACTCCCAATCGGTGATGGGGCAGATGTGGAGAGAGTGGAGAGTTTCCCATACCTGGGCAGTGTGCTTATGACCGGCTCCAGTTTAACAGCAGAGGTCTCACTCCGAATCAGTCGAGCGGCAATATCTTTTCATCGGTTGCGTAACGCTGTGTGGAAGCTACCTGGTCTGTCGCTCCGCACTAAGCTTCAGGTCTTCTCGGCCACGGTCATTCCCTCCCTTCTCTACGCTTGCGAAACGTGGACCCCCCTAATGGAACATCTTCGCCGGTTAGAAACATTTAGGCTGGCCTGCCTACGATCCATCCTGGGTTTAACCAGACTGGATTGTGTAAGGAGCTCACAAATCCTTGAAAGATCTGGGCAAGGTCCCATCGGTGAGCTCCTCCGGCGGGCAAGGCTGCGATGGCTGGGTCATGTAGCCCGCATGCCCAGCCACCGCATGCCGAAACAGCTTTTGTTCGGCCGGATTGAGGGGGCTAAGCGGGCGCGGCACGGGCTAGAGAAGAGATGGAGTGATGTGGTACAGGAGGACGTGGAGCTGAGTGGACTTGCCGATGACCGGTACCAGATCGGCCTCTGTGGAGGAGGTTCGTGAAGGACGCTACTGGGCAGTTGGAGGCAGTCGCCCTCCAACAACAACGGAGGGCGGAGGAGCGACGCTCACAACAACGAGCGGAGTGCCGGGTGGCTAAAGCACAGCAGGTTGGCACAGTAGGGGGCACAGGTGGTGCATCAGCCAGTCATCTCAGTCAGTCGACCCGTGGCACCTGGGTCTGCCCCGTGACCTCCTGCCAGCGGGCGTTCGACACTTCACGTGGCCTCAGGGTGTACATAGCCTGGCACAAGCGTCGTGGTGACGTCACCGCCACTTAGTGGCGAATGGCGGTTGTTGGTGGTGGTGGTTGTGGTGGTGGTGGTGGTGTTTGTGGTGGTTGTGGTGGTGTTGGTGGTGATGTTGATGGTGGTGGTTGTGGTGGTGGTTGTGGTGGTGATGGTGGTTGTGTAAAGTGTAGGCACACCCTCCCCTTACTGCGGGTGTTTAGATGTCGGACGTGAACGAAGGAGGAGGTGCCGTGTCGGCGCTGGAGAAGCAGCTGCTGGTGGTGGCGGTGGTTGTGGTGGTGGTGGTGGTTGTGTAAAGTGTAGGCACACCACCCCTACATGACTGTGGGTGTTTAGATGTCTGACGTGAATGGAGGAGGAGGAGGTGGCGCCGTGTCGGCGCTGGAGAAGCAGCTGCTGGTGGTTGTGGTGGTGGTGATGTTGATGGTGGTGATGGTGGTTGTGGTGGTGGTTGTGGTGGTGGTAGTGGTGGTGGTGGTTGTGTAAAGTGTAGGCACACCACCCTCCCCTCACTGTGGGTGTTTAGATGTCTGACGTGAATGGAGGAGGAGGAGGCTCCGTGTCGGCGCTGGAGAAGCAGCTGCTGGAAGTGGTTGTGGTGGTTGTGGTGGTTGTGGTGGTGGTGATGTTGATGGTGGTGATGGTGGTGATGGTGGTTGTGGTGGTGCTGGTGGTGATGGTGGTTGTGGTGGTGGTGGTTGTGTAAAGTGTAGGCACACCACCCCTACATGACTGCGGGTGTTTAGATGTCTGACGTGAATGGAGGAGGAGGAGGAGGAGGCGCCGTGTCGGCGCTGGAGAAGCAGCTGCTGGTGGTGGCGGTGGCTGTGGTGGTGGTGATGTTGATGGTGGTGATGGTGGTGATGGTGGTTGTGGTGGTGGTGGTGGTGATGGTGGTGGTTGTGTAAAGTTTAGGCTCACCCTCCCCTCACTGTGGGTGTTTAGATGTCGGACGTGAATGGAGGAGGAGGTGGAGGAGGTGGCGCCGTGTCGGCGCTGGAGAAGCAGCTGCTGGAAGTGGTTGTGGTGGTTGTGGTGGTTGTGGTGGTGGTGCTGGTGGTGATGGTGGTTGTGTAAAGTTTAGGCACACCACCCCTACATGACTGTGGGTGTTTAGATGTCTGACGTGAATGGAGGAGGAGAAGGAGGAGGAGGAGGAGGAGGAGGCGCCGTGTCGGCGCTGGAGAAGCAGCTGCTGGAAGTGGCGGTGGTGGTTGTGGTGGTTGTGGTGGTGGTGATGTTGATGTTGATGGTGGTGATGGTGGTTGTGGTGGTGGTGATGTTGATGGTGGTGATGGTGGTGGTGGTTGTGTAAAGTTTAGGCTCACCCTCCCCTGACTGCGGGTGTTTAGATGTCTGACGTGAACGAAGGAGGAGGCGCCGTGTCGGCGCTGGAGAAGCAGCTGCTGGAAGTGGTTGTGGTGGTTGTGGTGGTGGTGATGTTGATGGTGGTGATGGTGGTGGTGGTTGTGTAAAGTTTAGGCTCACCCTCCCCTGACTGTGGGTGTTTAGATGTCTGACGTGAATGGAGGAGGAGGTGGAGGTGGCGCCGTGTCGGCGCTGGAGAAGCAGCTGCTGGAAGTGGCGGTGGCCGTGGAGGAGCGGGTGGACAGCGCCATCCGGCAGATGGACGAGATGGGGGAGGAGGAGATGGAGGCGCTGCGCGAGAGGCGCCTGCAGGCCCTCAAGAAGGCGCAGCAGCAGCAGCAGGTGGGCGGACTCTGTGTGTAGGTGTAGGTGTGTGTGTATGTGTGTGTGTGTCACTGTGTGTGTGTGTAGGTGTCACTGTGTGTGTGTGTAGGTGTGTGTGTAGGTGTGTGTGTGTGTAGGTGTGTGTGTAGGTGTGTGTGTGTAGGTGTGGGTGTGTGTGTAGGTGTGTGTAGGTGTGTGTGTCTGTGTGTGTCTGTGTGTGTGTAGGTGTGTGTCCTTGTGTAGGTGTGTGTGTGTGTGTGTATCTGTGTGTGTAGGTGTATGTGGAGGTGTATGTGTAGGTGTGTGTGTAGGTGTGTGTGTGTGTAGGTGTATGTGTGTAGGTGTATGTGTGTGTGTAGGTGTGTGTGTGTGTCTGTGTGTGTGTAGGTGTGTGTGTGTGTGTCACTGTGTGTGTGTGTAGGTGTGTGTGTGTGTGTAGGTGTGTGTGTAGGTGTGTGTGTGTGTGTATGTGTGTATGTGTGTGTGTCTGTGTGTCTGTGTGTGTCTGTCTGTGTGTGTGTGTGTAGGTGTGCAAAACAACCCCCTACCTCCTCGCTGTGCCGGACGGGCAACTCTGTCGTGGACAGCGCTGTGGGGGGAGATCCAATTTTGATTGGCTCCTCCCCTCATGGCATATGTGTCCACCACAGGGGCTAAACGGGGGCTCTGGACGGGTGCGAGGGGCTGGTAACCCCTCCACCTTCAATTAATTACCACGAAACTACGAATTAAACTGAAATATGTAACAACTAAGCTTGTGCCGGAGGCCCCGGGGGGCCAGGCGTCTATGACGTCTCCTGGCCAAACCCCAATTGGCGGAGCCAGGAGATTGAATACCTACCCTCGGGGCTACTCCAGAAACAACGAAAAGCCACTACGGTTGGCCACGTGGAATGTTCGAACGCTCACTGCAGAGGAGAGGCTGCCACTCCTCTGTCGGGAGCTGGACCGGTACCGCCTGGATCTATGCGGCATTCAGGAGGTCCGGTGGACCGGCTCTGGCTCCTGCCACCATGAGGGGTGGACAGTCCTCTACTCGGGGCAGCAGACTGCCAAACAACAGGGTGTGGGTCTTCTTTTGAACAAAAGAATGAAGGGGGCGTGGGAGCGTGGCGGTGAGGTGTGGGAAGCTGTAAGCCCCAGGCTACTTTGGGCTCGCCTTCCCATCAACCGGAGGCGAGGAATGGTGGTCGTGGTTACTTATGCCCCCACCGAAGATGAACATCCGTGGAGGGATGCAGGCAAAGCCGATGAGTCAGATGCCTTCTATGACCTCCTGTCACAGGTGCTGGCTAAAGTGGCCCCTCGGGATAGAGTCATCATGTTGGGTGACTTCAATGCCCGAGTTGGTCATGATACTGGCACCTGGTCTGGAGTGATTGGAGGGCATGGGCCAGATCAGCTCAATAACAACGGTAGGAGGCTGCTAGATTTTTGTGCAGCCCATGGGCTTGTAATTACCAACACGCTGTTCCGGCATCGGCGCATCCACACAACATCATGGATGCATGCCGGGTCCAAGCAAGAACATCTGCTGGACTACATAGTGACGGACCAGCGAATGCGAGCCCATGTCCTTGACACCAGGACCTACCGTGGAGCTGATCTGCCCTCTGACCATCGACTAGTCATCTGTAAGATGCGCCTGCCATTCTTCCACTCCGGTGGTGGGTGTACACCCAGGACCCCATTCCAACCTAAAGTGGCCTGGTCTCAGTTATCTGATGAAAGTTGCAAGCGAGAATTTCATCATCGCTTGCGGCTGGGATTGGCATCGTCCCCGACTCCTCCTGATGTCGAGGGTAAATGGGCGAGGTTTAGGACTGTGACTCATGCAGCTGCAATGGCTGCTTTGGGTACGCGGTCCAGACCTCCCCAGACACCCTGGATGACAGAGGAGTTGTTCACGATGGTTGAGAAAAAGCGACAGGCCCACTGTCATCGGCTACAGAATCCCACGTCAGAGAATGAGGAGGCTTACCGCAGCCTTCGCTCGGAGGTTCGGAGAGCCGTGAGGCGCTGCAAGGATGGGTGGTGGTCGCGGGTTGCTGAGGAGATGGAGTCTGCCTCAGTGGCCCGTGATCACAAATCTCTATTTAACTCCATCAAAAAAGTAACCTGCAGCGCCACACCTATTACCATCATTAGGGGAAAAAACGGTGATCCAATTTCCGACCCCCAGGAACAGGTTCGCAGATTTGCTGAGCATTTCTGTGAGGTCCTGGGGGAGGGAAAATCCCTCAGCCAGGAAAACATCGTGGCACAAAGTGAGGATGACCCTGCTGAGGCTGCGGTGCCTCAAATATTGGATGAAGTCACCCCCTGTGAGTGGCTGGCTGAGGTGCCATCTGCTGAGGAAGTATTGAAGGCGATCCGGAGTCTGAGACCAGGAAAGGCAGCGGGCAGAGATGATCTCCCAAGCGAAATGCTGAGGGAGGGTGGCGTTTGTGCACAGACTGCCCTATATAACATCATAACAACAGTCTGGACCACTGGACGGGTTCCGCAGGATTGGAAGGATGCCCTGGTGGTCCCCCTTTTTAAGAAGGGGGACCGCACAGACTGTAACAACTACAGGGGCATCTCACTCCTCAGTGTGCCGGGAAAGGTCCTGGCAAGGATTATTCAGCATCGCCTTGCCAGGCACGCTGAGGAGAGGCTTGCGGAGCCCCAATGCGGTTTCAGGAAAGGGCGGTCCTGCACAGATGCCATATTTTCTGTCCGTCTGCTACAGCAGAGGTGTAGGGAATTCCAACAAGACCTACATCTCTGCTTTATTGACCTGGTCAAGGCCTATGATACCATCAGTAGGCCTGGGCTCTGGGTCGTTCTTCGTGCTTTTGGAGGACCTGACCCTCTGCTCACGATCATTAAGGACCTTCATGATGGTGAGCGGGCCCGGGTAAAACTACGTGGCCGGGAGTCAGAGCCATTCCCTGTACACCTTGGGGTGCGACAGGGATGTCCTCTGGCTCCCACATTATTTAACATCTATTTTGACCACGTAGTTCGTGAAGCCTTCAATAGCTGTACCGGGGGAATCTCCATATGGTACAGATATAATGGGAGGCTAATCGATGCCCGGGTGCGGTCAAGGGATGGCTCCCTATTGCTCAACCACGTTATGTATGCTGATGACTTGGTAATAGCTGCTCAGTCAGAGGAGGAGTTGGAGACGCTGCTGCTGAGACTGGAGCGTGCCACTAAGAGGTGGGGCCTTACCATCAGCCCCACCAAAACTAAGCACCTGCCTGGGTATTTTGTACCATCGGACACTCCACCCCCACAACTCCCAATCGGTGATGGGGCAGAGTGGAGAGTTTCCCATACCTGGGCAGTGTGCTTATGACTGGCTCCAGTTTAACAGCAGAGGTCTCACTCCGAATCAGTCGAGCGGCAATATCTTTTCATCGGTTGCGTAACGCTGTGTGGAAGCTACCTGGTCTGTCGCTCCGCACTAAGCTTCAGGTCTTCTCGGCCACGGTCATTCCCTCCCTTCTCTACGCTTGCGAAACGTGGACCCCCCTAATGGAACATCTTCGCCGGTTAGAAACATTTAGGCTGGCCTGCCTACGATCCATCCTGGGTTTAACCAGACTGGATTGTGTGAGGAGCTCACAAATCCTTGAAAGATCTGGGCAGGGTCCCATCGGTGAGCTCCTCCGGCAGGCAAGGCTGCGATGGCTGGGTCATGTAGCCCGCATGCCCAGCCACCGCATGCCGAAACAGCTTTTGTTTGGCCGGATTGAGGGGGCTAAGCGGGCGCGGCACGGGCTAGAGAAGAGATGGAGTGATGTGGTACAGGAGGACGTGGAGCTGAGTGGACTTGCCGATGACTGGTACCAGCGGTGTCAAGATCGGCCTCTGTGGAGGAGGCTCGTGAAGGATGCTACTGGGCAGTTGGAGGCAGTCGCCCTCCAACAACAACGGAGGGCGGAGGAGCGACGCTCACAACAGCGAGCGGAGCGCCGGGTGGCTAAAGCACAGCAGGTTGGCACAGTAGGGGGCACAGGTGGTGCATCAGCCAGTCATCTCAGTCAGTCGACCCGTGGCACCTGGGTCTGCCCCGTGACCTCCTGCCAGCGGGCGTTCGACACTTCACGTGGCCTCAGGGTGCACATAGCCTGGCACAAGCGTCGTGGTGACGTCACCGCCACTTAGTGGCGAATGGCGGTTGTTGTTGTTGTGTGTAGGTGTGTGTGTGTAGGTGTGTGTGTAGGTGTGTGTGTAGGTGTGTGTGTGTAGGTGTGTGTCTGTGTGTGTCACTGTGTGTCTGTGTGTGTGTGTGTAGGTGTGTGTGTGTAGGTGTGTGTGTGTAGGTGTGTGTGTGTATAGGTGTGTGTGTAGGTGTGTGTGTGTAGGTGTGTGTCTGTGTGTGTCACTGTGTGTCTGTGTGTGTGTGTGTGTGTAGGTGTGTGTGTGTGTGTAGGTGTGTGTGTGTGTGTAGGTGTGTGTGTGTAGGTGTGTGTCTGTGTGTGTCACTGTGTGTCTGTGTGTGTGGGTGTAGGTGTGTGTGTCTGTGTGTAGGTGTGTGTGTGTGTATGTGTGTGTGTGTAGGTGTGTGTGTGTGTAGGTGTGTGTGGGTGTGTAGGTGTGTGTGTGTAGGTGTGTGTGTGTGTAGGTGTGTGTGTGTGTAGGTGTGTAGGTGTGTGTGTGTGTGTGTCTGTGTGTGTCTGTGTGTGTGTGTGTAGGTGTGTGTGTGTGTGTAGGTGTGTGTGTGTGTGTAGGTGTGTGTGTGTGTGTCTGTGTGTGTGTGTAGGTGTGTGTGTGTCTGTGGGTGTGTTTGTGTGTGTGTATGTGTGTGTGTGTGTAGGTGTGTGTGTAGGTGTGTGTGTGTGTAGGTGTGTGTGTGTAGGTGTGTGTGTAGGTGTGTGTGTGTCTGTGTGTGTGTGTAGGTGTGTGTGTGTGTAGGTGTGTCTGTGTAGGTGTGTAGGTGTGTGTGTGTGTAGGTGTGTCTGTGTAGGTGTGTGTGTGTAGGTGTGTGTGTCTGTGTGTGTGTAGGTGTGTGTCTGTGTGTGTGTAGGTGTGTGTGTCTGTGTGTGTGAGTGTCTGTGTGTGTCTGTGTGTGTAGGTGTGTGTGCGTAGGTGTGTGTGTGTGTAGGTGTGTGTGTCTGTGTGTGTGTAGGTGTGTGTCTGTGTGTGTGTAGGTGTGTGTGTGTGTGTGTCTGTGTGTGTCTGTGTGTGTAGGTGTGTGTGTGTAGGTGTGTGTGTGTCTGTGTGTGTGTAGGTGTGTGTGTGTAGGTGTGTGTCTGTATGTGTGTGTGTGTAGGTGTGTGTGTGTAGGTTTGTGTGTCTGTGTGTGTGTAGGTGTGTGTGTGTCTGTGTGTGTCTGTGTGTGTGTGTCACTGTGTGTGTCACTGTGTGTGTCACTGTGTGTGTCACTGTGTGTGTCTGTGTGTGTGTCTGTGTGTGTGTGTCACTGTGTGTGTGTGTGTCTGTGTGTGTCACTGTGTGTTTGTGTGTGTCACTGTGTGTGTCTCTGTGTGTGTCACTGTGTGTGTCTCTGTGTGTGTCACTGTGTGTGTGTCACTGTTGTGTCACTGTGTGTATCACTGTGTGTGTGTCTCTGTGTGTGTCACTGTGTGTGTGTCACTGTGTGTGTCACTGTGTGTGTGTCACTGTGTGTCACTGTGTGTGTCACTGTGTGTGTCACTGTGTGTGTGTCACTGTGTGTGTGTCACTGTGTGTGTCACTGTGTGTGTGTCACTGTGTGTGTGTCACTGTGTCTGTGTCACTGTGCGTGTCACTGTGCGTGTCACTGTGTGTGTGTGTGTCTGTGTGTGTCACTGTGTGTGTGTCACTGTGTGTGTGTCACTGTGTGTGTGTGTCACTGTGTGTGTCACTGTGTGTGTCACTGTGTGTGTGTCACTGTGTGTGTCACTGTGTGTGTGTGTCACTGTGTGTGTGTCTGTGTGTGTGTCACTGTGTGTCACTGTGTGTGCGTGTCACTGTGTGTGTGTGTCACTGTGTGTGTCACTGTGTGTGTGTGTGTGTAACACTGTGTGTGTGTGTAACACTGTGTGTGTGTGTGTGTAACACTGTGTGTGTGTCTGTGTGTGTGTGTCACTGTGTGTGTATCTGTGTGTGTGACACTATGTGTGTGTCACTGTGTGTGTGTGTCACTGTGTGTGTGTGTAACACTGTGTGTGTGTGTGTAACACTGTGTGTGTGTGTCACTGTGTGTGTGTAACACTGTGTGTGTGTGTCACTGTGTGTGTGTAACACTGTGTGTGTGTGTGTAACACTGTGTGTGTGTGTCACTGTGTGTGTGTGTGTAACACTGTGTGTGTGTCACTGTGTGTGTGTGTCACTGTGTGTGTGTAACACTGTGTGTGTGTGTAACACTGTGTGTGTGTGTAACACTGTGTGTGTGTGTCACTGTGTGTGTGTGTAACACTGTGTGTCTGTGTGTGTGTCTGTGTGTGTGTGTGTCTGTGTGTGTGTGTGTGTCTGTGTGTGTGTGTCACTGTGTGTGTCACTGTGTGTGTCACTGTGTGTGTGTCACTGTGTGTGTCACTGTGTGTGTCACTGTGTGTGTGTCATTGTGTGTGTGTGACTGTGTGTGTGACACTGTGTGTGTGTCACTGTGTGTGTGACACTGTGTGTGTGTCACTGTGTGTCACTGTGTGTGTGTGTCTGTGTGTGTGTGTCACTGTGTGTGTGTCACTGTGTGTGTGTCACTGTGTGTGTCTGTGTGTGTGTCACTGTGTGTGTGTCACTGTGTGTGTGTCACTGTGTGTCTGTCTGTGTGCGTGTTGCAGGAGTGGCGGTCACTTGGACATGGTGTGTACAGTGACATTGCCGACGAGAAGGCGTTCTTCAGCGAATGCAAACGCTCACCCCGAGTGGTGTGTCACTTCTACAAGGACTCCACCCAGCGGTAACGCTCACCACCCGCTCACCACCCACTCACTCACTCACTCACCCACTCACCTACTCACCCACTCAGTCACTCACTTACTCACTCACACACTCACTCACTCACTCACCCGCTCACCACCCACTCACTCTCTCACTCACTCACTCACCCACTCACACACTCACTCACTCACTCACCCACTCACTCACTCACCCACTCACTCACTCACCCACTCACTCAGTCACTCACTTACTCACTCACTCACCCACTCACTCACTCACCCACTCACACACTCACTCACTCACTCACCCACTCAGTCACTCACTTACTCACTCACTCACCCACTCACACACTCACTCACTCAGTCACTCACTTACTCACTCACTCACTCAGTCACTCACTTACTCACTCACTCACCCACTCACTCACTCACCCACTCACACACTCACTCACTTACTCACCCACTCAGTCACTCACTTACTCACTCACTCACCCACTCACACACTCACTCACTCAGTCACTCACTTACTCACTCAGTCACTCACTCACTCACTCAGTCACTCACTTACTCACTCACTCACTCAGTCACTCACTCACTCACTCAGTCACTCACTCACTCAGTCACTCACACACTCACTTACTCACTCACTCACGCACCCACTCACTCTCTCACCCACTCGCCCACTCGCTCACTCACTCACTTACTCACTCTCTTACTCACTCACTCACCCACTCGCTCACTCACCCACTCACTCACTCTCTCACTCACTCACTCACTTACTCACTCACCCACTCACACACTCACTCACCCACTCACCCACTCACTCTCTCACTCTCTCACTCACTCACTCACCCTCTCACTCACTCTCTCACTCACTCACTCACCCACTCACTCACTCACCCACTCACTCACTCACCCACTCACTCACTCACCTACTCACTCACCCACTCACTCACTCACCCACTCACCCACTCACCTACTCACCCTCTCACTCACTCACTCTCTCTCTCACTCACCCACCCACTCACTCATTCACTACTCCCTCACCACCCCATTACTACCCCTCCATCTCCACCTCTATCTCCCACCCCCCTGTATCTGTGTCTCTCCCTCTATCTCCCCCTCTATCTCCCCCCTCTATCTCCCCCCTGAAGCTGTGAGGTGGTAGACGGCCAGCTGGCCAAGATGGCTCCGCTGCACCTTGAGACTCTGAGATTCTCTCTCTGCCTCTGTGTCTCTCCCCCTCTCTATCTCCCTCTCTATCTCCCCTCTCTATCTCCCCTCTCTATCTCCCCTCTCTATCTCCCCTCTCTATCTCCCCTCTCTATCTCCCCCCTCTATCTCCCCCCTCTATCTCCCCTCTCTATCTCCCCCTCTCTATCTCCCCTCTCTATCTCCCCCCTCTATCTCCCCCCTCTATCTCCCCTCTCTATCTCCCCTCTCTATCTCCCCTCTCTATCTCCCCCCCTCTATCTCCCCCCTGAAGCTGCGAGGTGGTAGACGGCCAGCTGGCCAAGATGGCTCCGCTCCACCTTGAGACTCTGAGATTCTCTCTCTGCCTCTGTGTATCTCCCCCTCTCTATCTCCCCTCTCTATCTCCCCTCTCTATCTCCCCCCTCTATCTCCCCCCTGAAGCTGTGAGGTGGTGGACGGCCAGCTGGCCAAGATGGCTCCGCTGCACCTTGAGACTCTGAGATTCTCTCTCTGCCTCTGTGTATCTCCCCTCTCTATCTCCCCCCCTCTATCTCCCCTCTCTATCTCCCCCCCTCTATCTCCCCTCTCTATCTCCCCCTCTCTATCTCCCCCCTCTATCTCCCCCCTGAAGCTGTGAGGTGGTAGACGGCCAGCTGGCCAAGATGGCTCCGCTGCACCTTGAGACTCTGAGATTCTCTCTCTGCCTCTGTGTATCTCCCCCTCTCTATCTCCCCCTCTATCTCCCCCCCCTTCTATCTCCCCCCTGAAGCTGCGAGGTGGTGGACGGCCAGCTGGCCAAGATGGCTCCGCTCCACCTTGAGACTCTGAGATTCTCTCTCTGCCTCTGTGTATCTCCCCTCTCTATCTCCCCCTCTATCTCCCCCCTCTCTATCTCCCCTCTCTATCTCCCCCTCTATCTCCCCCCTGAAGCTGCGAGGTGGTGGACGGCCAGCTGGCCAAGATGGCTCCGCTGCACCTTGAGACTCTGAGATTCTCTCTCTGCCTCTGTGTATCTCCCCCCTTTATCTCCCCTCTCTATCTCCCCTCTCTATCTCCCCTCTCTATCTCCCCCCTCTCTATCTCCCCCTCTATCTCCCCCTCTGAAGCTGTGAGGTGGTAGACGGCCAGCTGGCCAAGATGGCTCCGCTCCACCTTGAGACTCTGAGATTCTCTCTCTGCCTCTGTGTATCTCCCCTCTCTATCTCCCCCCCTCTATCTCCCCTCTCTATCTCCCCCCCTCTATCTCCCCTCTCTATCTCCCCCTCTCTATCTCCCCCCTGAAGCTGTGAGGTGGTAGACGGCCAGCTGGCCAAGATGGCTCCGCTGCACCTTGAGACTCTGAGATTCTCTCTCTGCCTCTGTGTATCTCCCCTCTCTATCTCCCCCTCTATCTCCCTCTCTATCTCCCCCCCTCTATCTCCCCTCTCTATCTCTCCCCTCTCTATCTCCCCTCTCTATCTCCCCTCTCTATCTCCCCCTCTATCTCCCCCCTGAAGCTGTGAGGTGGTAGACGGCCAGCTGGCCAAGATGGCTCCGCTCCACCTTGAGACTCTGAGATTCTCTCTCTGCCTCTGTGTATCTCCCCCCTCCATCTCCCCCCTCTCTATCTCCCTCTCTATCTCCCCCTCTATCTCCCCACCCCAGCTGTGAGGTGGTGGACGGCCAGCTGGCCAAGATGGCTCCGCTGCACCTTGAGACTCTTTGATTCTCTCTCTGCCTCTGTATATCTCCCCCTCTCTATCTCCCCCCTCTATCTCCCCTCTCTATCTCCCCCCTCTATCTCCCCTCTCTATCTCCCCCTCTATCTCCCCCCTCTATCTCCCCCTCTCTATCTCCCCCCTGAAGCTGTGAGGTGGTAGACGGCCAGCTGGCCAAGATGGCTCCGCTGCACCTTGAGACTCTGAGATTCTCTCTCTGCCTCTGTGTATCTCCCCTCTCTATCTCCCCCTCTATCTCCCCCTCTCTATCTCCCCTCTCTATCTCCCCCTCTATCTCCCCTCTCTATCTCCCCCCTGAAGCTGTGAGGTGGTAGACGGCCAGCTGGCCAAGATGGCTCCGCTGCACCTTGAGACTCTGAGATTCTCTCTCTGCCTCTGTGTATCTCCCCCCTCTTATCTCCCCTCTCTATCTCCCCTCTATCTCCCCCCCACTGTGTCTCCCCCCTGAAGCTGTGAGGTGGTGGACGGCCAGCTGGCCAAGATGGCTCCGCTGCACCTTGAGACTCTGAGATTCTCTCTCTGCCTCTGTGTATCTCCCCTCTCTATCTCCCCCTCTATCTCCCCTCTATCTCCCCCCCACTGTGTCTCCCCCCTGAAGCTGTGAGGTGGTGGACGGCCAGCTGGCCAAGATGGCTCCGCTCCACCTTGAGACTCTGAGATTCTCTCTCTGCCTCTGTGTATCTCCCCTCTCTATCTCCCCCTCTATCTCCCCTCTATCTCCCTCTGTGTCTCCCCCCTGAAGCTGTGAGGTGGTGGACGGCCAGCTGGCCAAGATGGCTCCGCTCCACCTTGAGACTCTGAGATTCTCTCTCTGCCTCTGTGTATCTCCCCCCTCTATCTCCCCCTCTATCTCCCCTCTCTATCTCCCCTCTCTATCTCCCCACCCCAGCTGTGAGGTGGTGGACGGCCAGCTGGCCAAGATGGCTCTGCTGCACCTTGAGACTCTGAGATTCTCTCTCTGCCTCTGTGTATCTCCCCTCTCTATCTCCCCCTCTATCTCCCCCCTCTATCTCCCCCCTGAAGCTGTGAGGTGGTAGACGGCCAGCTGGCCAAGATGGCTCCGCTGCACCTTGAGACTCTGAGATTCTCTCTCTGCCTCTGTGTATCTCCCCTCTCTATCTCCCCCTCTATCTCCCCTCTCTATCTCCCCCCTGAAGCTGTGAGGTGGTAGACGGCCAGCTGGCCAAGATGGCTCCGCTGCACCTTGAGACTCTGAGATTCTCTCTCTGCCTCTGTGTATCTCCCCCCTCTTATCTCCCCTCTCTATCTCCCCTCTATCTCCCCCCCACTGTGTCTCCCCCCTGAAGCTGTGAGGTGGTGGACGGCCAGCTGGCCAAGATGGCTCCGCTCCACCTTGAGACTCTGAGATTCTCTCTCTGCCTCTGTGTATCTCCCCTCTCTATCTCCCCCTCTATCTCCCCTCTATCTCCCCCCCACTGTGTCTCCCCCCTGAAGCTGTGAGGTGGTGGACGGCCAGCTGGCCAAGATGGCTCCGCTCCACCTTGAGACTCTGAGATTCTCTCTCTGCCTCTGTGTATCTCCCCTCTCTATCTCCCCCTCTATCTCCCCTCTATCTCCCTCTGTGTCTCCCCCCTGAAGCTGTGAGGTGGTGGACGGCCAGCTGGCCAAGATGGCTCCGCTCCACCTTGAGACTCTGAGATTCTCTCTCTGCCTCTGTGTATCTCCCCTCTCTATCTCCCCCTCTATCTCCCCTCTATCTCCCCCCCACTGTGTCTCCCCCCTGAAGCTGTGAGGTAGTGGACGGCCAGCTGGCCAAGATGGCTCCGCTCCACCTTGAGACTCTGAGATTCTCTCTCTGCCTCTGTGTATCTCCCCTCTCTATCTCCCCCTCTATCTCCCCTCTATCTCCCTCTGTGTCTCCCCCCTGAAGCTGTGAGGTGGTGGACGGCCAGCTGGCCAAGATGGCTCCGCTCCACCTTGAGACTCTGAGATTCTCTCTCTGCCTCTGTGTATCTCCCCCCCTCTATCTCCCCTCTCTATCTCCCCTCTCTATCTCCCCCCTCTATCTCCCCTCTCTATCTCCCCACCCCAGCTGTGAGGTGGTGGACGGCCAGCTGGCCAAGATGGCTCCGCTGCACCTTGAGACTCTGAGATTCTCTCTCTGCCTCTGTGTATCTCCCCCTCTCTATCTCCCCCTCTATCTCCCCCCTCTCTCTCCCCCCTGAAGCTGTGAGGTGGTAGACGGCCAGCTGGCCAAGATGGCTCCGCTCCACCTTGAGACTCTGAGATTCTCTCTCTGCCTCTGTGTATCTCCCCTCTCTATCTCCCCCTCTATCTCCCCTCTCTATCTCCCCCCTGAAGCTGTGAGGTGGTAGACGGCCAGCTGGCCAAGATGGCTCCGCTGCACCTTGAGACTCTGAGATTCTCTCTCTGCCTCTGTGTATCTCCCCCCTCTTATCTCCCCTCTCTATCTCCCCTCTATCTCCCCTCTATCTCCCCCCCACTGTGTCTCCCCCCTGAAGCTGTGAGGTGGTGGACGGCCAGCTGGCCAAGATGGCTCCGCTCCACCTTGAGACTCTGAGATTCTCTCTCTGCCTCTGTGTATCTCCCCTCTCTATCTCCCCCTCTATCTCCCCTCTATCTCCCCCCCACTGTGTCTCCCCCCTGAAGCTGTGAGGTGGTGGACGGCCAGCTGGCCAAGATGGCTCCGCTCCACCTTGAGACTCTGAGATTCTCTCTCTGCCTCTGTGTATCTCCCCTCTCTATCTCCCCCTCTATCTCCCCTCTATCTCCCTCTGTGTCTCCCCCCTGAAGCTGTGAGGTGGTGGACGGCCAGCTGGCCAAGATGGCTCCGCTCCACCTTGAGACTCTGAGATTCTCTCTCTGCCTCTGTGTATCTCCCCCCCTCTATCTCCCCTCTCTATCTCCCCTCTCTATCTCCCCTCTCTATCTCCCCCTCTATCTCCCCCCTGAAGCTGCGAGGTGGTAGACGGCCAGCTGGCCAAGATGGCTCCGCTCCACCTTGAGACTCTGAGATTCTCTCTCTGCCTCTGTGTATCTCCCCCCTCTATCTCCCCTCTCTATCTCCCCTCTCTATCTCCCCACCCCAGCTGTGAGGTGGTGGACGGCCAGCTGGCCAAGATGGCTCCGCTGCACCTTGAGACTCTTTGATTCTCTCTCTGCCTCTGTGTATCTCCCCTCTCTATCTCCCCCTCTATCTCCCCCCTCTATCTCCCCCCTGAAGCTGTGAGGTGGTAGACGGCCAGCTGGCCAAGATGGCTCCGCTGCACCTTGAGACTCTGAGATTCTCTCTCTGCCTCTGTGTATCTCCCCCCTCTTATCTCCCCTCTCTATCTCCCCTCTATCTCCCCCCCACTGTGTCTCCCCCCTGAAGCTGTGAGGTGGTGGACGGCCAGCTGGCCAAGATGGCTCCGCTCCACCCTGAGACTCTGAGATTCTCTCTCTGCCTCTGTGTATCTCCCCTCTCTATCTCCCCCTCTATCTCCCCTCTATCTCCCCCCCACTGTGTCTCCCCCCTGAAGCTGTGAGGTGGTGGACGGCCAGCTGGCCAAGATGGCTCCGCTCCACCTTGAGACTCTGAGATTCTCTCTCTGCCTCTGTGTATCTCCCCTCTCTATCTCCCCCTCTATCTCCCCTCTATCTCCCTCTGTGTCTCCCCCCTGAAGCTGTGAGGTGGTGGACGGCCAGCTGGCCAAGATGGCTCCGCTCCACCTTGAGACTCTGAGATTCTCTCTCTGCCTCTGTGTATCTCCCCTCTCTATCTCCCCCTCTATCTCCCCTCTATCTCCCCCCCACTGTGTCTCCCCCCTGAAGCTGTGAGGTGGTGGACGGCCAGCTGGCCAAGATGGCTCCGCTCCACCTTGAGACTCAGAGATTCTCTCTCTGCCTCTGTGTATCTCCCCTCTCTATCTCCCCCTCTATCTCCCCTCTATCTCCCTCTGTGTCTCCCCCCTGAAGCTGTGAGGTGGTGGACGGCCAGCTGGCCAAGATGGCTCCGCTCCACCTTGAGACTCTGAGATTCTCTCTCTGCCTCTGTGTATCTCCCCCCCTCTATCTCCCCTCTCTATCTCCCCTCTCTATCTCCCCCTCTATCTCCCCCTCTATCTCCCCCCTGAAGCTGCGAGGTGGTAGACGGCCAGCTGGCCAAGATGGCTCCGCTCCACCTTGAGACTCTGAGATTCTCTCTCTGCCTCTGTGTATCTCCCCCCTCTATCTCCCCTCTCTATCTCCCCTCTCTATCTCCCCACCCCAGCTGTGAGGTGGTGGACGGCCAGCTGGCCAAGATGGCTCCGCTGCACCTTGAGACTCTGAGATTCTCTCTCTGCCTCTGTGTATCTCCCCCTCTCTATCTCCCCCCCTCTATCTCCCCCTTCTATCTCCCCCCTGAAGCTGTGAGGTGGTGGACGGCCAGCTGGCCAAGATGGCTCCGCTGCACCTTGAGACTCTGAGATTCTCTCTCTGCCTCTGTGTATCTCCCCTCTCTATCTCCCCCTCTATCGCCCCCCTCTATCTCCCCCCTGAAGCTGTGAGGTGGTAGACGGCCAGCTGGCCAAGATGGCTCCGCTCCACCTTGAGACTCTGAGATTCTCTCTCTGCCTCTGTGTATCTCCCCTCTCTATCTCCCCCTCTATCTCCCCTCTCTATCTCCCCCCTGAAGCTGTGAGGTGGTAGACGGCCAGCTGGCCAAGATGGCTCCGCTGCACCTTGAGACTCTGAGATTCTCTCTCTGCCTCTGTGTATCTCCCCCCTCTTATCTCCCCTCTCTATCTCCCCTCTATCTCCCCCCCACTGTGTCTCCCCCCTGAAGCTGTGAGGTGGTGGACGGCCAGCTGGCCAAGATGGCTCCGCTCCACCTTGAGACTCTGAGATTCTCTCTCTGCCTCTGTGTATCTCCCCTCTCTATCTCCCCCTCTATCTCCCCTCTATCTCCCCCCCACTGTGTCTCCCCCCTGAAGCTGTGAGGTGGTGGACGGCCAGCTGGCCAAGATGGCTCCGCTCCACCTTGAGACTCTGAGATTCTCTCTCTGCCTCTGTGTATCTCCCCTCTCTATCTCCCCCTCTATCTCCCCTCTATCTCCCTCTGTGTCTCCCCCCTGAAGCTGTGAGGTGGTGGACGGCCAGCTGGCCAAGATGGCTCCGCTCCACCTTGAGACTCTGAGATTCTCTCTCTGCCTCTGTGTATCTCCCCTCTCTATCTCCCCCTCTATCTCCCCTCTATCTCCCCCCCACTGTGTCTCCCCCCTGAAGCTGTGAGGTAGTGGACGGCCAGCTGGCCAAGATGGCTCCGCTCCACCTTGAGACTCTGAGATTCTCTCTCTGCCTCTGTGTATCTCCCCTCTCTATCTCCCCCTCTATCTCCCCTCTATCTCCCTCTGTGTCTCCCCCCTGAAGCTGTGAGGTGGTGGACGGCCAGCTGGCCAAGATGGCTCCGCTCCACCTTGAGACTCTGAGATTCTCTCTCTGCCTCTGTGTATCTCCCCCCCTCTATCTCCCCTCTCTATCTCCCCTCTCTATCTCCCCCTCTATCTCCCCCTCTATCTCCCCCCTGAAGCTGTGAGGTGGTGGACGGCCAGCTGGCCAAGATGGCTCCGCTGCACCTTGAGACTCTGAGATTCTCTCTCTGCCTCTGTGTATCTCCCCCTCTCTATCTCCCCTCTCTATCTCCCCTCTCTATCTCCCCTCTATCTCCCCCCTCTATCTCCCCCCTGAAGCTGTGAGGTGGTGGACGGCCAGCTGGCCAAGATGGCTCCGCTGCACCTTGAGACTCTGAGATTCTCTCTCTGCCTCTGTGTATCTCCCCCTCTCTATCTCCCCTCTCTATCTCCCCTCTCTATCTCCCCCCTCTTATCTCCCCTCTCTATCTCCCCTCTATCTCCCCCCTCTATCTCCCCCCTGAAGCTGTGAGGTGGTAGACGGCCAGCTGGCCAAGATGGCTCCGCTCCACCTTGAGACTCGCTTCCTGCGCCTGGACGTGAGCCGGGCGCCCTTCCTGAGCACCCGGCTCCGCCTCCGCGCCGTGCCCACCGTCGCCGTGGTGAGGGGCGGAGCCATCTCCGACTACGTCATCGGAGTCGCCGAGATGGGCGGAGCCAACGGGGCCAGGCCCAGCCCCCAGCTCAGCGCGGCGGAGTTGGAGCGACGGCTCGCCGCAGCTGGGGCCATCTTCCGGAGGTGTGGGGGGTGGCGGTGGTGGTGGTGGTGGTGGTGGTGGTTGTGGTGGCGGTGGTGGTGGTGGTGGTGGTGGCGGTGGTGGTGGTGGTGGGGGCGGTGGTGGTGGTGGTGGTGGTGGGGGCGGTGGTGGTGGTGGTGGTGGTGGGGGCGGTGGTGGTGGTGGTGGTGGGGGCGGTAGTGGTGGTGGTGGTGTGGGGGCGGTGGTGGTGGTGGGGGTGGTGGTGGTGGTGGTGGTGGTTGTTGTGGTGGTGGTGGTGGTGGTGGTGATGATGGTGGCGGTGGTGTTGGTGGTGGTGGTGTTGGTGGTGGTGGTGTTGTTGGCGGTGGTGGTGGTGGTGGTAATGGAGGTGGTGGTGGTGGCGGTGGTGTTGGTGGCGGTGGCAGCGGCGACGGTGATAGTGATGGCGGTGGCGGTGGTGTTGGCGGCGGTGGTGGCGGTGACGGTTATTATCGAGCCGATTCCTCCCATGCCTTCCTGATGGCCTCCAACCCAGGTGTCCGCCTCATGAACCACTCGGGCATTGATGTCGCCCAACCTGACGACCCCATCCCGAGGGGGCCACTTTAACTAGCGCCTGTGGCAGCAGGGACGCCCATTGAAGGCACGTCTCGCTGTGCGGCCCACGTGCTTGCAAAATATGCCGACACGCTGTTCCGGCACCGGCGCATCATCCACACAACATCGCTGTGGACTGCTCGCCGGGTAGCAAGCGAGAAAATCTGCCGGGCTGCGTAGCGACGGAGCAGCGGATGATGATGCGGGCCGACGTCCGCATCATCTCCTCCAGCCAGAGAGCCTGGCTGGAGGAGGAGGAGGAGGAGGTGAGACAACGTCACGGGTCGAGGTTGGGGACAGTGAAAGGGACAGTGAAGCAATGATGAAGTGATAAAAATATAAAGCAATAAAAATTATTATTCTTGGTTTCTCTGGGTAAAGGCACCACCGCGTAGACGGGAAACAATAAAATAATAAAAATATAAAGCAATAAAATTATTATTCTTGGTTTCTTTCGGTAAAGTCACCACCGCGTAGAAGGGAAACAATAAAATGATAAAAATATAAAACAATAAAAATTTTATTCTTGGTTCTTTGGGTAAAGTCACCACGTAGAAGGGAAACAATAAAATAATAAAAATATAAAGCAATAAAATTATTATTCTTGGTTCTTTGGGTAAAGTCACCACCACGTAGAAGGGAAACAATAAAATAATAAAAATATAAAACAATAAAATAATAAAAACATAAAACAATAAAAACATTAATAAACATTATTCTTGGTTCTTTAGGTAAAGTCACCATGTAGAAGGGAAACAATAAAATAATAAAAATATAAAACAATAAAATTATTATTCTTGGTTCTTTGGGTAAAGTCACCACGTAGAAGGGAAACAAAATAATAAAAATATAAAACAATACAATTATTATTCTTGGTTCTTTGGGTAAAGTCATCACGTAGAAGGGAAACAATAAAATGATAAAAATATAAAACAATACAATTATTATTCTTGGTTTCTTTGGGTAAAGTCACCACCGCGTAGAAGGGAAACAATAAAATAATAAAAATATAAAACAATAAAATCCTCACGACGTTTCGACTGCAACACAAGAAGCAATCGTCATCAGGTGTGAAAACCACAGCAAGAAAATTTGAAGAAAGTGGCGGGTTATTTTTAACGTTAGCACCACGGAGAGCGATTTGGCAGTCATTCAGATGGACGAGTCCATCTGTGTTCGGAAAAGAGGAGGGGGGGAGACGAAAATAATGGATGCGGTCTGAAAGCCACCGTAAGCGTGAACAATCAATGAAGACCCGAAATGGTTTTATCAAATCCTTCCAATGATTGCTCAGCCAGAATCCATCTTCTCCGTTGAAATTGTCTCTGTGTTTGTATATGTGGAGAGCCTCATGAACGAATCTCTCATGGTAACTGTAATCGTGAACAATCAATGAAGACCCCGAAATGGTTTATCAAATCCTTCCAATGACTGCTAAGCCAGAATCCATCTTCTCCGTTGAAATTGTCTCTGTGCTTGTATATGTGGATAGCCTCATGGACGAATCTCTCATGGTAACCGTAAGCGTGAACAATCAATGAAGACCCCGAAATGGTTTATCAAATCCTTCCAATGATTGCTAAGCCAGAATCCATCTTCTCCGTTGAAATTGTCTCCGTGTTTGTATATGCGGATAGCCTCATGAACGAATCTCTCATGGTAACCGTAAGCGTGAACAATCAATGAAGACCCCGAAATGGTTTATCAAATCCTTATAATGATTGCTAAGCTAGAATCCATCTTCTCCGTTGAAATTGTCTTCGTGTTTGTATATGCGGATAGCCTCATGAACGAATCTCTCATGGTAACCGTAAGCGTGAACAATCAATGAAGACCCCAAATGGTTTTATCAAATCCTCCCAATGATTGCTAAGCCAGAATCCATCTTCTCCGTTGAAATTGTCTCCGTGTTTGTATATGTGGATAGCCTCATGAACGAATCTCTCATGGTAACCGTAAGCGTGAACAATCAATGAAGACCCCGAAATGGTTTATCAAATCCTTCCAATGATTGCTAAGCCAGAATCCATCTTCTCCGTTGAAATTGTCTCCGTGTTTGTATATGCGGATAGCCTCATGAACGAATCTCTCATGGTAACCGTAAGCGTGAACAATCAATGAAGACCCCGAAATGGTTTATCAAATCCTTATAATGATTGCTAAGCTAGAATCCATCTTCTCCGTTGAAATTGTCTTCGTGTTTGTATATGCGGATAGCCTCATGAACGAATCTCTCATGGTAACCGTAAGCGTGAACAATCAATGAAGACCCCAAATGGTTTTATCAAATCCTCCCAATGATTGCTAAGCCAGAATCCATCTTCTCCGTTGAAATTGTCTCCGTGTTTGTATATGTGGATAGCCTCATGAACGAATCTCTCATGGTAACCGTAAGCGTGAACAATCAATGAAGACCCCAAATGGTTTATCAAATCCTTCCAATGATTGCTAAGCCAGAATCCATCTTCTCCGTTGAAATTGTCTCAGTGCTTATATATGTGGATAGCCTCATGAACGAATCTCTCATGGTAACCGTAAGCGTGAACAATCAATGAAGACCCCAAATGGTTTATCAAATCCTTCCAATGATTGCTAAGCCAGAATCCATCTTCTCCGTTGAAATTGTCTCAGTGCTTATATATGTGGATAGCCTCATGAACGAATCTCTCATGGTAACCGTAAGCGTGAACAATCAATGAAGACCCCAAATGGTTTATCAAATCCTTCCAATGATTGCTAAGCCAGAATCCATCTTCTCCGTTGAAATTGTCTCTGTGCTTGTATATGTGGATAGCCTCATGGACGAATCTCTCATGGTAACCGTAAGCGTGAACAATCAATGAAGACCCCGAAATGGTTTATCAAATCCTCCCAATGATTGCTAAGCCAGAATCCATCTTCTCGGTTGAAATTGTCTCTGTGCTTGTATATGCGGATAGCCTCATGAACGAATCTCTCATGGTAACCGTAAGCGTGAACAATCAATGAAGACCCCGAAATGGTTTATCAAATCCTTCCAATGATTGCTAAGCCATAATCCATCTTCTCCGTTGAAATTGTCTCCGTGCTTATATATGCGAATAGCCTCGTGGACGAATCTCTCACGGTAGCCAGATGGCTTGCAGAGAACCTCTGTCTTGGCTATTATTATTCCCCACGAACTTTGCTCTTGTGACCAGGACTTTACGTGAAGGAATGGCACAAATGCGCACCACGCCTTCTCATTGACAGTAGTTTCATTTCAAAATGTCCTTGTCCTGCTCACAAAAGCCAAGTTTGTGTTGGAATGACATCCACTTGCTGTGCCTTTTGAGGCGCGAGCAGTTAGGAAATAACACTTCCTACCCAGGAACAAACGCAAATATATATATTTTCGGTAAAGTCACGCAGAAGGGAAACAAGAAAGTACAAAAATATAAAACAATAAAATTCTCACGACGTTTCGACTGCAACACAGGCAACCGCCATCGGTCGAAACGTCGCGAGATTTGTGTTGTTTCACATATTTTTATTCTGTTATCGTCTCCCCTTTCTACGCGGTGGCCGCTTTACCGACGGAACCAACGGCATGGATCCCTGCAGTCACGAAAGCTTTTAAGTCGAAATCTGTATTTTGTCTCACGGTGTTATTGGTCCCGAAGAAGCCACCCCGCCACCAACCACCCCCCCTTTCTGAGTGCGTGGCTGTGTGCGAGATCTGTGCGGGACGTCACGTAGTCCGATCAGAGACGATCTCCCGAGCGAAATGCCGAGGGGAAGGGGCGGGCGGGCGGGCGGGCGGGCGGGCGTCTTTCCGCTGTCCTCCAGACAGCCTGGTCCCCTTCGCCTGATGAAGGCCGCTTGCGTTGTGGCCGAAACGTCGCGTGATTTTTGTTGTTTTATTTTTTTTACCTACTACGTGGTGACTTTACCCAATGGTGTGGATCCTAGCAGTCACGAAAGCTTCAAATCTAGAGGCGCGTGGCGTCTGTTTGCACGGACACAAGTGCCTGGGCCCGCGGGGATTGTGAAAGGGGAATGCCTTTGTGCGGATAAGGCGTCATCACACAACGCGCATCATTCTCAGCGGCGAGGATTATTCGGCATCGCCTTCGCCAGGCACGCTGAGGAGAGGCTTGCGGAGCCCCAACGCGGTTTCAGACCGGGGCGGGCATGCACGGATGCCATATTTTCTGTCCGTCTGCTACAGCAGAGGTGTAGGGAATTCCCGCAAGGCCTACGTCTCTGCTTTATTGACCTGGTCAAGGCACTATGATACCATCCAGTAGGCCAGGGCTTCTGGGTCGTTCTTCGTGCTTTCGGAGTCCCTGACCCTCTGCTCACGATCATTAAGGACCTTCATGATGGTGAGCGGGCCCGGGTAAAACTACGTGGGCCGGGAGTCAGAGCCATTCCCTGTACACCTTGGGGTGCGACAGGGATGTCCTCTGGCTCCCACATTATTTAACATCTATTTTGACCACGTAGTTCGTGAAGCCTTCAATAGCTGTACCGGGGGAATCTCCATTTGGTGCAGATATAATGGGAGGCTGATCGATGCCCGGGTGCAGTCAAGGGATGGCTCCCTATTGCTCAACCACATTATGTATGCCGATGATTTGGTAATAGCTGCTCATTCAGGGGAGGAGTTGGAGATGCTGCTGCTGAGACTGGAGCGTGCCACTAAGAGGTGGGGCCTTACCATCAGCCCCACAAAAACTAAGCACCTGCCTGGGTATTTTGTACCATCGGACACTCCACCCCCACAACTCCCAATCAATGATGGGGCAGTTGTGGAGAGAGTGGAGAGTTTCCCATACCTGGGCAGTGTGCTTATGACCGGCTCCAGTTTAACAGCAGAGGTCTCACTCCGAATCAGTCGAGCGGCAATATCTTTTCATCGGTTGCGTAACGCTGTGTGGAAGCTACCTGGTCTGTCACTCCGCATTAAGCTTCAGGTCTTCTCGGCCACGGTCATTCCCTCCCTTCTCTACGCTTGCGAAACGTGGACCCCCCTAATGGAACATCTTCGCCGGTTAGAAACATTTAGGCTGGCCTGCCTACAATCCATCCTGGGTTTAACCAGACTGGATTGTGTGAGGAGCTCACAAATCCTTGAAAGATCTGGGCACGGTCCCATCGGTGAGCTCCTCCGGCAGGCAAGGCTGCGTTGGCTGGGTCATGTAGCCCGCATGCCCAGCCACCGCATGCCGAAACAGCTTTTGTTCGGCCGGATCGAGGGGGCTAAACGGGCGCGGCACGGGCTAGAGAAGAGATGGAGTGATGTGGTACAGGAGGACGTGGAGCTGAGTGGACTTGCCGATGACCGGTACCAGCGGTGTCAAGATCGGCCTCTGTGGAGGAGGCTCGTGAAGGACGCTACTGGGCAGTTGGAGGCAGTCGCCCTCCAACAACAACGGAGGGCGGAGGAGCGACGCTCACAACAACGAGCGGAGCGCCGGGTGGCTAAAGCACAGCAGGTTGGCACAGTAGGGGGCACAGGTGGCGCATCAGCCAGTCATCTCAGTCAGTCGACCCGTGGCACCTGGGTCTGCCCAGTGACCTCCTGCCAGCGGGCGTTCGACACTTCACGTGGCCTCACGGTGCACATAGCCTGGCACAAGCGTCGTGGTGACGTCACCGCCACTTAGTGGCGAATGGCGGTTGTTGTTGTGTGACTGTGTGTGTCTCTGTGTGTGTCTCTGTGTGTGTGTGTCTCTGTGTGTGTCTCTGTGTGTGTCTCTGTGTGTATCTCTGTGTGTGTCTCTGTGCGTGTCTCTGTGTGTGTCTCTGTGTGTGTCACTGTATGTGTCTCTGTGTGTGTCTCTGTGTGTGTCTCTGTGTGTGTCTCTGTGTGTCTCTGTGTGTGTGTCTCTGTGTGTGTCTCTGTGTGTGTCTCTGTGTGTGTGTCTCTGTGTGTGTCTCTCTGTGTGTGTCTCTGTGTGTGTCACTGTGTGTCACTGTGTGTGTCACTGTGTGTGTCTCTGTGTGTGTGTCTCTGTGTGTGTGTCTCTGTGTGTGTGTGTCACTGTGTGTGTCACTGTGTGTCTCTGTGTGTGTCTCTGTGTGTGTCTCTGTGTGTGTCTCTGTGTGTGTGTGTCTCCGTGTGTGTCTCTGTGTGTGTGTGTGTGTCACTGTGTGTCTCTGTGTGTGTCACTGTGTGTCTCTGTGTGTGTCTCTGTGTGTGACTGTGTCTCTGTGTGTGTCTCTGTGTGTGTCTCTGTGTGTGTCTCTGTGTGTGCAGCAGTGACGCTGCTGGAGACCCCCCAGGCAGTGGTGGTGGTGCCCACCCCCCACGCACCACCTTCACCCACGCTGCCAAGAAGACGTCGATCCGGGCACAACACCGCAACACCGCTGACTCAGACTGACTCAGACTCAGACTGACTCACTCACTCACTCACTAGGACTCACTCACTCAGACTCACTCACTCACTCAGACTGACTCACTAGGACTGACTCAGACTCAGACTGACTCACTCAGACTGACTCAGACTCAGACTGACTCACTCAGACTGACTCAGACTCAGACTCACTCACTCAGACTGACTCAGACTCAGACTGACTCACTCGGACTCACTCAGACTCACTCAGACTGACTCACTCAGACTCGCTCAGACTCACTCACTCAGACTGACTCACTCAGACTCATTCACTCAGACTCACTCAGACTCACTCACTCAGACTCACTCACTCAGACTCACTCAGACTCACTCAGACTCACTCACTCAGACTGACTCACTCACTCACTCAGACTGACTCACTCGGACTGACTCACTCACTCAGACTGACTCACTCAGACTCATTCACTCAGACTCACTCAGACTCACTCACTCAGACTCACTCAGACTCACTCACTCAGACTGACTCACTCAGACTCACTCACTCAGACTCGCTCAGACTCACTCACTCAGACTGACTCACTCAGACTCATTCACTCAGACTCACTCAGACTCACTCACTCAGACTCACTCACTCAGACTCACTCAGACTCACTCACTCAGACTCACTCACTCAGACTCACTCACTCAGACTCACTCAGACTCACTCAGACTCACTCACTCAGACTCACTCAGACTGACTCACTCACTCAGACTCACTCAGACTCACTCACTCAGACTCACTCAGACTCACTCACTCAGACTCACTCACTCAGACTGACTCACTCAGACTCACTCACTCAGACTCGCTCAAACTCACTCACTCAGACTGACTCACTCAGACTCATTCACTCAGACTCACTCACTCAGACTGACTCACTCACTCAGACTGACTCACTCACTCAGACTGACTCACTCACTCACTCAGACTGACTCACTTGGACTGACTCACTCAGACTCACTCAGACTGACTCACTCAGACTCACTCAGACTCACTCACTCAGACTCACTCACTCAGACTGACTCACTCAGACTCACTCACTCAGACTCACTCACTCATTCAGACTCACTCACTCAGACTCACTCACTCAGACTCACTCGGACTGACTCACTCGGACTGACTCACTCACTCAGACTGACTCACTAAGACTGACTCACTCACTCAGACTCACTCACTCTGACTCACTCACTCTGACTCACTCACTCAGACTCACTCACTCACTCAGACTCACTCACTCACTCAGACTCACTCAGACTCACTCAGACTCACTCAGACTCACTCACTCAGACTGACTCACTCAGACTCACTCACTCAGACTCACTCACTCAGACTCACTCAGACTCACTCAGACTGACTCACTCAGACTCACTCAGACTCACTCACTCAGACTGACTCACTCACTCAGACTGACTCACTCACTTAGACTGACTCACTCGGACTGACTCGGACTCAGACTCACTCAGACTCACTCACTCACTCAGATTCACTGACTCACTCAGACTGACTCACTCACTCAGACTGACTCACTCAAACTCACTCACTCAGACTGACTCACTCGGACTGACTCACTCACTCAGACTGACTCACTCACTCAGACTCACTCACTCAGACTGACTGACTCACTCGGACTGACTCACTTGGACTGACTCACTCGGACTGACTCACTCACTCAGACTGACTCACTCACTCAGACTCACTCAGACTGACTGACTCACTCGGACTGACTCACTTGGACTGACTCACTCGGACTGACTCACTCACTCACTTAGACTCACTCAGACTCACTCACTCACTCACTCCGACTGACTCACTCACTCACTCAGACTGACTCAAACTGGCTCACTCACTCAGACTGACTCACTCACTCAGACTGACTCACTCACTCAGACTCACTCACTCAGACTGACTGACTCACTCGGACTGACTCACTTGGACTGACTCACTCGGACTGACTCACTCACTCACTTAGACTCACTCAGACTGACTCACTCACTCACTCCGACTGACTCACTCACTCACTCAGACTGACTCAAACTGGCTCACTCACTCAGACTGACTCACTCACTCAGACTCACTCACTCAGACTCACTCACTCACTCAGACTGACTCACTCAAACTGACTCACTCAGACTGACTCACTCGGACTGACTCACTCACTCAGACTGACTCACTCAGACTGACTCACTCAGACTCACTCACTCACTCAGACTCACTCACGCAGACTGACTGACTCACTCAGACTGACTCACTCGGATTGACTCACTCAGACTGACTCACTCACTCAGACTGACTCACTCACTCAGACTGACCCACTCACTCACCCACTCACTCACCCACCCGCTCACCACCCATCCGCTCACCCACTCGCCCACTCACTCGCTCACCCACTCATCACTCACCCGCTCACCACTCACCCGCTCACCCACTCACCACCCATTCACCACCCACTCACTCACCCACTCACCCACTCGCTCACCCACTCACCACCCACTCACTCACTCGCTCACCCACTCACCACCCACTCACTCACCCACTCACTCACCCACTCGCTCACCCACTCACCACCCACTCACCACCCACTCACCCACTCACTCACCCACTCACTCACCCACTCACCCACCCACTCACTCACCCACTCACTCACCCACTCACCCACTCGCTCACCCACTCACCACCCACTCACCACCCACTCACTCACCCACTCACTCACCCACTCACCCACTCGCTCACCCACTCACCACTCACTCACTCACTTTCTCACTCACTCACCCACTCGCTCACCCACTCACCACCCACTCACTCACTCACTCTCTCACTCACCCACTCACTCATTCACTACTCCCTCACTCACTCAGACTGACTCACTCACTGGGACTCACTCAGACTAACTCACTCAGACTCACTCACTCACTCAGACTCACTCAGACCGACTCAGAACTAAGTCTGCATGCAGGTCGCCCCTCCCCCCCCCCCCAGGGTCCAGATCCCAGCGTTGTGTCGTAAAACCCCTCCACCACCCTGTTTCGACAAAGGCACGAATACAAGTGGAGAATTAACACTGGTCTTGTCGCTGTGGATGGTGATGATGGTGATGTGGATGGTGGTGATGGTGGTGGTTGTGATGATGGTGATGGTGGTGGTGATGGTGGTGGTGATGATGGTGATGGTGGTGGTGATGGTGATGGTGGTGAATACAAGTGGAGAACTAACACCGCTCTTGTCGCTGTGGATGGCGGTGGTGATGGTGGTTATGGCAATGGCGGTGATGGTGGTGGTGACGGTGATGATGGTGGTGGTGACGGTGATGCTGGTGGTGATGGTGGTGGTGATGGTGGTGGTGATGATGGTGGTGATGATGATGGTGGTGATGATGGTGGTGATGATGGTGGTGGTGACGCTGGTGGTGACGCTGGTGGTGATGGCTGGTGGTGGTGATGGTGGTGGTGATGATGGTGGTGGTGACGCTGGTGGTGACGCTGGTGGTGATGTTGATGGCTGGTGGCGATGGCTGGTGGTGACGCTGGTGGTGATGGCTGGTGGTGATGGTGGTGGTGATGGTGGTGGTGATGATGGTGGTGACGCTGGTGGTGGTGGTGGTGATGATGGTGGTGGTGACGCTGGTGGTGACGGCTTGCGGCGACGCTGGTGGCGATTATGACGATGGCGGCGGCGGCAATGGCGGTGCCGCGGGCCAAACAACTAGAGGAGACACTTCTCCGAGTCAACTGCGGAGCGCTTTCTAACAACAAATCCCGAACACAGTTGGGGTGAGCGGGTCCCTCGCACCCTGTGGCCCAAGGACGTCGCCGCCCCCTCCGGACTAACGCGCCTCTCGGCCGGCTAAGCCGACCCCGCCCTCGGGCGGAGCTTTGGACGTCTCGGCGGTCTCATCCCGAGCCTGCTCGCGGCTTCGGGGGGCCCCCTCTTGGGGCTCTTCCATCCGGGAGACTTTGCCTCAAGGGCAACGCATCGCGTGTTAGCGTGGTGTGTGGGGTTTTTGGTTTGCTTGCTTGCTTGCTTGCATTTTGACCCGCGGGTATCGCGGTTCACGCGGTAAAACGTGAATCCTCGTGTAAAAAAAAAAAATGGTTTTCAGTTTCGTTGCAAGGTAAAAGGGGGAAAACCCTGTGGTTATTATTATTACGTTTTGGTACTGGTAAAGGAGGTCTGATGATGATGATGTAGATGTTCATTACTACTTTGATAGCGGCATTGTCTCTGAGCTGTGTGACGCCTTCTGGCGTCGTCTGGTCGAGCACCAATTGGGTCGAGGCTCAGAAAGCCGTGCCTTGGTGTGGACCAATCGGCGTCAAGGGCAACGCATCATTATCATAGTGTGTGGGGTTTTTAGTTTGCTTGCATTTTGACCCGCGGGTATCGCGGTTAACGCGGTAAACACGAATCCTCGTGAAAAAATGGTTTCAGTTTCGTTGCCAGATAAAAGGGGGAAAACCCTGTTATTATTATTACGTTTTGGTACTAGCAAAGGAGGTCTAATGATGATGTAGATACTCACCCCGAGCCCTCATTACTACTTTGATAGCGGCATTGTCTCTGAGCTGTGTGACGCCTTTTGGCGTCATCTGGTCGAGCACCAATTGGGTGAGAGTGGAGAGCTTCCCTATTGCTCAACCACGTTACGTATGCCGATGATCTGGTAATCGCTGCTCACTCAGAGGAGGAGTTGCCAGATAAAAGGGGAAAAAACCCTGTTTATTATTATTATTACGTTTTGGTACTGGTAAAGGAGTTCTAATGATGATGTAGATGCTCACCCCGAGCCCTCATTACTACTTTGATAGCGGCATTGTCTTTGAGCTGTGTGACGCCTTCTGGCGTCATCTGGTCGAGCACCAATTGGGTCGAGGCTCAGAAAGCCGTGCCTTGGTGTGGACCAATCGGTGTCAAGGGCAACGCATCATTATCATAGTGTGTGGGGTTTTTTGTTTGCTTGCATTTTGACCCGCGGGTATCGCGGTTCACGCGGTAAAACGTGAATCCTCGTGGAAAAAAAAATGGTTTTCAGTTTCGTTGCAAGGTAAAAGGGGGAAAACCCTGTTATTATTATTACATT